CTCACCCCAAACGCCTACATGGCGTATAGTGGGACAAACTTTACTAGTTTCAACATGAGTCACTTTTTATTAAGGATGAGCTCTTTTTTTTAAAAAAAAAGCCACTCAAAAGTCCTTGTAGTTATTTTTCTATGTCTGTGAACTTCTTGTAACATTTTGTAAACATCAGTGGCAAATTTCCGGTTTCATCAAAAATTTAATGTTCAACTTTCTGTTCTGGCATTTTACAACTATAATTGACTGACAAAATACTTACTTTGACAATGAAACAAACTGAATGCCAAAACTTGTAAACTATGTATTCATGTTGTCCAACATGTGTGAAGTTACTAGTAGCTGCACCATAGCGTGAGTCTTGTTATTTAATTATTAAATCATATATTTGACTGAACTGATTAATTGTGTGAATTTAATTTATGCAGCAGTGCCAAAGCCTATTACCAATAGGAGCGAGGACGGACTGGATGTAGTGGTATATACGTTGGTGCCTGTCCTTATTCTTGCCATCATCATTGCTATTGTCTATTGGTTCTACCGTCAGCGCAAGCTTGCTTACTTCAATGAGGTAGGTCAGCACATTTGTGTTAATGGGTTTTATTAGTATGCTCTGTGGTTGGTTGCAGTCATCTTTGTTGAAGTGATCAATGACTGTTAAGCATTTGATTTATTACTGTTAATGTTGTTTTAACTGTTTGTTTCTTTTTCCATGCACACATCTATGCTTATGATTTTTTTTTATCTTTAGTGGGTAAGTAGTTTTTATAAATTTATGAAGTCAGTGATTGTTTACAGTTTATAACGTGTCGGAATGCAATTTACAGACCACATCCTTGCAAATAATATCAGTTTTATGGTGCAGTTTTTCACAATTGAAATTTTACTTTCATTAATTCACATTTGCTATTCTTACAGAGGAGACAAAAAAAGTATTAATTTTTATTCATCCCAACTGTTAGTTTCAAAGTTTCGTTTTGATCGCATAGTTTTGAAAGTAATTTGTGTGCTTTTAGTGGTGATAGTCTCATTTCATATAAGCAAGTATTAAATTATGACGTGAAATTGTGTCCGTGTTTTGCCGTTCACCTGTTTAAAAACCTAAAAAGTGTTAACTCTTTTCTTGATGTCAATTTTCACTCACTTGAAATATATTTTTTATACTTCTCAGGAATAAAAGCCATTCATGCAAACGTGTTTCATTCTGTAATTGTCCTCTCTGTTTTATGTTTTTAGAGTATACTATTTTCTCTTAGTATTCTTT